AAGTGACAATTATCTGGTGACTGTAAGCTGCTTCATACATTACATTTCCCCTTGATTTGCCCATAGGCCTGAAGATAGGTCAAACGGCTATTACAGAAACAGCTAAAGCAGCTAATTCAAAAATGTCAGGCTTTTCAACCTTACTTTCTCAAGTATGCACACACCAGCACTGGAGAAGACTGTGTAGAAGGCTGTGTGTTTTCTTACATCCATGTTCACTTTTGTGGGTAAATTGCATTCTGGAAATCAGCACTTTAGTCATCAGCAAATGATGGCCCTTTTTTATAGGCACAAGTTCTCTGCCTTAAATGTACAGGTAAAAAAAATAATAAATCAACAGATGAAACTTTTACCAAAAATGGAGCAGTGGGGTGCAGAGGATCTACTTTGGTTGATTCCTGCCTCTTCTTCAGCTCCTAAGAACACAAAGCCACAGTGAGGGGAAAAAAACAGCAAGCAAGAAATCCTAATAGAATACCAAATGTTTTCATAGCTTCCAATGTGTGTTAGGACGACTTGAGTAACACTGCATTCAATGCTCTCCTGTTTCAAGTTTAAATCTCCCGGTGAAAGACAGACAGTCAGACAGGTAGAGTTTAATCGATAGGGCAATTTCTTGGTGACACACAGGTGCATGTTATGAGTTCGCAGGATAAAACTAGCATGCTACAAATAATAAAGCTGCTTTTCATGTGAGAATGCATCATAACTTGACTAACTTCCAAGTCAACCCATACTTAGCAGGCCTCACAGCTACCAAAGGTGATTTATGATTGTAAATAGAACATGCTATGAGATTGTGTGGCACTGCTTCGCCCCTTACTGAATTCAGCCAGGTTCTGTTCTATCTACCTGTCAGCATGCTTATTTGAGCATATGGATAACCAGAGCAATGCCTTCTTACTGTCAGTTTCTTTTGTCTTCAAGCCTTTCATTTTCTGATTAGCTCATCCAGTTTCCTGAGACCTGCAATTTTTATTTGCTTTATTCTTTTTTCCCTTTACCTATGTTGCTTTTAAGTATTTTTGCATGAACAATTTTTGCTGGAAAACTTCCTTTGATTTTGTTAATGTTTCCCCACATAGTACTCCTCAGACGGGATACCTATGCACTGAATTCTATTCAATCTTGTAGCAGTGAGGTTTGTTAAAAAGCAACAAGCAGAAAACTTCCACTACTTTTTGTTCATTTGACAGATTCCAAGCAAGACAGTAGCACCCAGCCAGGGACTTTTCCACTACAGAGTGATATGATCCTTTTAATTTCTGTTTGGCCCAGGATGCTGGATCTTAGGGAGCTCTGAGCAAATTGCCCTGATGCATCAAGAGGTCCTAGGCTAAGCTCAGGCAGCTCTGAGATAACATTGCTTCCGAGCATTGTGGGAATTTAAATGGCAGTGATGTGGAACTTCCCAATACTGCTTGGAGCAGACAGGTTAGGGAAAAAGGGGACACCCAATTTAAATGGCAGGCCCTTCCAGGGTCTTTAGGTCCCAGCATGTACCAAGGTTTTAAGGTGCTAGTGCTAGTCTTGCCGGACAGATAATTACTGCAGGCCCAGGCACAGAGGAAGCAGCATCTACACTTCCATGGTGGTTTCCCTTTTTCAATAGCTCTTCTTAAAATGTTCCACCAAAGCAAATACATTTATGTGTATATTAAGTCTCCCTATTTTGTAGGCTCTCCTTACATTCACATGCTCGTTGAGCACACAGGGTATTTGTCATCAAGCCCCAGTTGATCTTATGCTTCTTGCCAAGGCCCAATTTCGTATTTTCAAGTAACCAAGATTGGCTACCCTTGTTTCAGCCAACCATCCTTCATGGATAATCTTACGGGGGCCACATGAGGTGGTTGTAGTGGGTGTGGCCAAAGCCAACAGAGCACAGAAATGGGTCATCTGGTAAGGTTCTCCCTCTTAAATGGCCATGACTTGCAGTGAGAACTTTGAACCTTCTTTTTTGGTTCCCCAACAATAATTCTGTGCCTTACAGCTATATGGTAGGCAGAAATTCAACAGCTGCCTCTTCCCAGCATGGAGACACAATAAAGAAATATCTACCTGTTGAACCTCTGCTTGTTATGCAACTGGTAAGAACATAGGTGACTTGCCATTAAAAAATAGCAGTTATAATCAGATAGTGATTAAATGAAAATGACCAAACTTTTGACAAAATAAGGAGATTCATATGAAAAAGATATTTGCATGGAATATTGAAAGCAAAAACAATCTTGTGTGTGAACATGTTTTTGGTAAAATAAGTGGTAGAAATGAGTTGAAAGGGGATTGGAAATACTAACAAAGAAAAACTCCTTACTTCAAGAGTGGGAAAGTCAGAATGCTGGTCTGATTTTGGAAGGGCTGAAGTGCTCAGCTAACTGACTTTGACCACATCATCCTCACATGCAGAGCCATTTAGCTGAAACTGCTCGAGTGGGAACATCTCCAAAGCTACCATGTTGTCAGAGAAAATGTTAGTTCTGAAGGGTTTCCTTTTACGTGGTAACTGGATATATTTATGTGGGCAAAATAACTTCCTGTGTGAAAACAAATTGGTGAAGTCATTGCTTGAGGACTTTCATCACATCAAAATAAACACGTGACTCACACTTAATACTCCCCCATATCAAGACAAAAAACCCAATGAATCCAGGGAAAACAAGCTGTTCATTTTCACCTGAGGTCCACACAACATGCAATGTAGATGTTCTCTTTGTAGTGACCCCCATCATATTTTGGGTTGAAAACCATTTTGTTTCCAAGAGAAGCAGTCCTGCCCGCCTCCCCTCCCACACTGCTGACTACATGAGATTATTCATCAGGAGCACCATTTTCTGGGTTAATTATAAAATAGCTATTATTATATAACATGAAGGGATTTTAAAGTCAGTTGTTCTTATCAGCTCCCACTATCTCGTTGAAACGGCTTTTCATTGTTGATGTTGTTGGGTTTTGTCTTATCCAAAGCTCATATTCAATGCAAATAGCAAAACTTTGCTATCTTGGTATCATTTACGGCTGCTTTAAATTGTTTTAGATTTTGAATGTTAACATTTTTAGGTTTTTGGTTTTTTTTAAAGTAATTGTTGTGAACTACCTAGAGAATGTTGGCTATTAGGCAGTACAGAAATGAAATAAATGAAAAATGAAAATAAAACAGTGGATTGTATCCAACAGTGCCATTCAGCTGTTGCATGAGGGAAAAACAAATTCCAAATTACGCAGAAGGGAAAAATGGAACTCAACTCCTACTGACACAACCCACTGAAAAAAGGGAGTTGAATTCAAATTTAAACTGAATCAACTGCACTGACAGAAGTGAACTTCTGTGTCTCCTCTTTCCCACAGCAGAGTCTCCAACCCACTGAAAATACTGTCTGCAGTATAGAGATGCTGCTGAAAGGGGTGAACTGTGGAGAGGGTCTCACCAAAAGTCAAGAGAGTCCATTAATGGAGTCCTTCCTTTTGCAGAAAGCAGATCATTACAAAATGGTCCACCTGTGCTTGGGCAACCAAGTACACAATGGAAGAAAGCAGTGGTGTTCTGGTACCACCCCAATTTCTTCTCCTCAATTTAGCACAGTAACCACACCTGAAGTTGTGAAAACACAGTGGGATTTTTGCAGTTCAATGTGGATATACCCAAGGAGAGGCCTTTGCTATGATCTGTAACATACACACTCAAACACACATACACACACAAAATAGTGCACTTCCTTGTACAATCAGTTTTCTTCCAGGCAAGAGAGATTCCTAATGCTTTGAAGAACTGTTTAATGTGTAAATCTGTACATTGTGGACAAAATATCGAAGTCTTGTTTTCATCTCTGGACAGGGCCACCCCTACAATTAGGTACCACAAGGCAGCCAATGCCGGAGAGAGGAACAGAGAGGAACAAGCAGTTGAAAAACATTACTGAATGTGCCCTCCACCCCATCCTAGCCTCCTGCTGGCATGTGCTGCAGAAAGCACTGTTCCTTTGCCAGTGTTGAATAAGATTCGGCTGTCAGCCCAGTCAACTTCCGTGTGTGGAATGAGGACATCAGCACCCTCCACCTCAGACAGCAAAATGCCTTCGGGTGGACCTGCCTTTCCACTTGGAAACAGGAATCAACAGCCCAGGATACAAGCAGTCCTTAATTTGGTGTGAAGTAGCATTGGTTCACCATGACCAGAAGAATACAGATCTGACTCTGCCCCACCCCATACACAACATTTCCCCACTTTTTCATCCATTGGCATTGTTTTTCTTGCAGCTCCTTTGCTTCCTCACTCGGCTCTGGTCCATGACAGTTTTACAAGGTGCATTCATCTTCAGGAGTCATAGTGTGTCAGAATAGACAAACTCTGCCCTTCCTCTTACAATTTAATCATATGTATAGATGGGGTCACTGTTCCATATAATGGCAGCAACTACTACTACTGTGAATGTAACATATACCCTTTTTACAGAGGAAATCAAAGAGTAGGGACTTCACTTTGCATGCTGCATTCCTCCTGCATTACAGATTAGTTTGTAATGCTGTTCTCTTTGAACATGATGTGACCTTGCTTGCTTGCTCACTTGCTTGCTCGCACCTCCATTCTGTTTCATTCATGTTATAATCAAGATTCTACAGACTAATCTGCTTGTTAAGAATATTTAAGGCTGTGAGATTCTGCCTCAGTGTGGGAGGCTACAATAGCAACAAACTAAATGAAACTAAATGGATTTTACAGGGTACACAGCAGGCTCCCCCCCCATCCCAACATCTGGATACCTATATCCTGTATGCCTATATAATCTACATGATTGTCATAAGAGCTTTGTTAAGAAAATTTCAGAACTCTCTGTTTTCCAACTATTTATTCAGAGTCTGGTTCCCTGAATTTACTGCATCCTGCCCTTACAGTCCTCTACCAGCATAAGTCTATATAAGCAGTGCTCCCACTTTACGGAAGGTCAGTTTTTCTGTATGCTTTGGATGTTCTCCAAAGCATCTAGATATACAAGGCTGACTCTAAAAACATTAGCCACACACTAAAAAGCAAGGCTGAGAGATGATTCTCTCATAATTTGGCATCAACTCCTACAAAAGACAACAGGGTGGGTAATACATATTGTAGTAGCTATTTACCCTTTTCTACTCCAGCTTGTCACAATTACTTAATAGAAGGAAAAGACAGATCAATACGAATCTAGAGATCCTTAAGCAACAGCAAGCTGGATCCCTGGATCATCCATCGCATAAGCTGATACTCTCATAGCTTGGTGGTGGAGTGTCGCAGACAATGCTCGCTTCATCCAGTGGTCCTGACTCTAGCCTTGGCAAAATATTCTGAAACAAGACACTATCAGAGGAACTGCGCCTACGGCCACTGTGCCATGTGTTGCTTTCATCCACAACTTGATACAAGGATGGTCTGTTTTCTTTCGAAACATGGGACTGTGTATAGTTTAGGGCATTTTCGGCAGGCTGGCAACTCAATGCTTCTTCGTAAGTGGGAATAGTACTGGCTTCATAAGTAGGAACAGGGCTGAAACAGAACCAAGACGATGATATCAAAATCTTTTTGGACTAAAAGGAGGCATTTGGTTATAAAATAAGACTAACACAGACAACATGCCTCTGACGTCCCAACCCTGAGCACAGAGAAAAACAACAGCATTGCCTTTTCCTGAAAGCATCTCTGAGGCTGCAATCCTGTACAAACTTACCTGGAATAAGTCTCATTGAATGCAGTTACTTCTGAGTAAACAGACACAGGATTGCCCTTTGAGTCTCCTGTGAATTATTTGTGCACACAGATGAACAAGTAACAAGAAAACAGAAAACTGTTTTATGATTACTGTACTTTCCAAGCATGGTAAGTATTACACGAGTACCTCATGGAGGCTGAATTGCAAAAAAATTAAAATACTGTCTGAAAGCACCCTAAGAACATGTCCCAGAAATAGCTGCCTTTGAAATTTTTGTATTATATGTACAACAGAGACCTTAATTTGGCTCCACCATATTAAGGATATCTAGAATCAAAGTTGGCCAAATTCCGACTGGTTAATGATCATTTGCTGCTGTGACTTTTTTCACTGCACTTTAAAGAGCAAGTATGGTCTGGATACAGGTAAACTTTGATCACTTCCTCCCTTTAAAGGGGAAAAGAATTTGCAGGTGGAAAATAACAATACTGGAATTGCAGGTTTCAGGGCTGTGTCAGTCCTCCTCATGACCTCCAGACATTTTAGCCTATAAATTCCATATTCCCTGGCCATTGGCCATACTGGCTGGAATTGGTGGGAGTTAATATCCAACAGGTCTGCAGGACACCAGAGCACCAGAAGCAAATAGATACTTATATTTGATATTTTATCACTTGTCATAGTTTTAAGTATAAACAAACACACACACTGTTACATATAGGACTGGAAAATATATTTTTCATTCATGCACACGAGACCATTTTTTATAGTCATCATATATTTTTTCAGATGCCAATCCTTTGTAGGGTTGGAGAGAAGACAAATAATGTTTTTTGATTATGCTATAATCAAAGTTCTAGCAGTCCAGGTAATTTGAACTTGGGATCTTGTTATGCATCTCTCTTTACTTTACATGGCTGTTTATGTTACTCTTGGGGCGAAATTCTTAGTTACACAGAAGTTAAGATGCAAAGTCCTGGTTTGAGACCACGTGCCTTACTCTGTCCAGAGCTTCTCCCTTCTCTTCACTAAGCCAGATGGACCCTCATGAGTGGCACTGCACTAGGCTGTTCCACACTTCTACCTAACGTCCTTTTGATAAGTAATGTCTCTTCCTTGCCATCACACCTCTAATAAATCAGTACTCATTAACTGATATTTGGTAAGTCAGTTCAAGCACCCAACTATTCCCATAAAGTATGGTTGCAAAGATCTTGCTAACCTGCAAGTCTCCTTTTCAAGAGGATCAACAGTGGAGTAATGAAGGTCCCTGGAAAAATGGTACTGATAGTGCCGAGAAACTATTCCAGCATTGGCTGACCACAGGAGGCCAAATAAGAGAAGGAGTCCACCAATTCCACAGCAGAAGAAACTGATGGACCTGAGCACTGCATTAGAGGAGGAGCTTGCCACAGGTTCCGCTTCCTCATGAAGCATGACCTTCGGGTCGCTGCTAGATGAGGTGGCCCCCATCTCACCATCGCTCCACCAGGCGAAACACAGCGTTCCTGTCACCAGTAGGACGGCTCCAGTGATGGTCACTCCATGGCGCAAAGGGGCAGTCATCATTTTAAAGACAGAGGCCGATACAAATGCTGTACAAGGAAATGGGGCTGTTGCCTTGGTTCATGCTGGAGGGAAAAGAAAGCATGAGCAGAAACAGGCACAAACAGTCTGATTAATGACACACACACATAATGCAAGAGGGAGTCCACTGAGTTTCACTGTGTGCCTTCTAAAACATCTCTGTTGCCTTCGCATTGGGGAGAAAGAGCCAATCGCACTTTGTGCCTGGATGCAATAATGCAGAAGTCCCAGTTCGGTCATAGAAAGCACAGCAAATAAAGCTACTTAACTCTTTCATTTGGCTAGAGTGGCTTCATGAACTTCTCTCCACAGTGTACAGCCAACATTCAGCATTCATATACAAATTAGATGAAAACATGGGTTTGTGTGGGTTCAACAAAGAGTATCCCATAATACCATTACTCTTTTTTTCAAAGTACCTTTCCCAATTTCATTCCAAGGACTACCAAACAATCACATAATTTTTGACATAAGTTCTTGTTTGCAGCACATCATTCACACGATCTTGTACAAGGTGAGATGATGACACACCAACAGTGCTACGAGGCCAACTGAAAACATGGAAAATTCAAGATCTTTCCATATGCAGATTCATACAAATGAACAGCGCTCTCTCTCTCTCTCTCTCTCTCTCTCTCTCTCTCTCTCTCTCTCACACACACACACACACACACACACACACACACACACACACAACCTTGTAGTAAAAGCCTGGAAAGCAACATGCTCCCGTTCAGGCAGGCAGCCATTCCCTTTTCTAGGACACCCCTTCCCCTTCCCATCCCTCCTCCTTCCCAGTCACTGGTCCCATGAACACTGAGCATCTGCACCCTCGCTGGGCTGTCCGGGGTTCCGCCCACAGCCTTAGTAGGTGTTTTCCCCTCAAAGTTTTTCTGTACTTTTGCAAACCTGTGGACACCTCCCTCCAGTGCGTGGCTGGTGCTGTTTAGGCTTCATACATTTAGGCTGCTTGGGAAGGAAGTGCACTGTTACTATAGGGAAGGAAAAACATATTCACTGCCTCGTGCGTTGACATCCCGTTCTTTGAGACCAATTCTTCCTCTCTCTTTATGATCCCCCTGCGGTCCTACAAGAGCTTGCCAAAGAGTACCAAGCCCAGGAATTAGGCCTCTCTTTGAAGACCCACCTTTTTGTACCTTGCACAGCCACGCCTGGGCCCTCCAGGGCTGATACTGCTCATTGCTTTATTCCTATTTTAAAGCATTTTAAAGAGCACCCAACTGGCATATGCGTTATTATAAACACTCATGTTACTGTTTTTACTTGAAATATATGGTATCATTTTCCGCACCAAAGAAACATATTTAAGAGAGAGCAAGCAGAAACAATCTCCCATCTTATTGTTGTGGTCATGAAAGTGCTACAATTTAAGTTTCAAATGCAAACAGCACATGCAGCACAATCAGGGTTGGCAAGCAGGACTTTGTTTTGTTTGCACTAATGTACGAGAGATGGTGGTGCTGGTCGTGGCATGAATGAAAGGGATGAAAGGGAGAAACCTTGGCTCCGTACTTCAGCACAGGCTGAAGTAATACATTTAGGCCACTCCATTAGGTCATTAAGCCCAAGCGGTAAAATGACCTAGTTGCAGCATTGGTAACCAAACCTTTGATTAAATATTAGTTAAATAATTGTCACGTATTTGAAGCATGTGTTATTTGTGAAGACAAAAGAGGAGGAGGAATGTATGCAACTGACCAATTTTGAGAAGACTCCAGGGTCCAATTCCCTCTTGTGCCCCTTAGAAATTTTACAGAGTACCATGCTAATTATGTATTGGTAGCTCTGATTTCTGGGTACTTTGTAACTTTGTCAAAGCAAAGCAAAGCAGACATACAAAGATTGTATGTCTGCTTTGTGCTTCCAGCCAAATCTTTGTTCCTGTCCAGAGATGGTTTGCAGCATGTGGAAAGTAGGAAAAGTTTTGCCCTTGCAGCTTAATGGAAGGAAAGTGAGAGCAAGAGTTTTGGGGCAAATGCATAAGTTATATTCCCCCCGCCCCCAGCATTATACCATCTGTAAAAAAGTCCAGGAAAACTAACCAAAGCAATATTCAATAACAATATAATGAATAAGCAATATAAAATCATAAAAATCAGATAAGAGTTTATAAAATTTGAATTATATAATACAGTTAGAATATAGATTATAAGCACAATAAGCACTGAAAAAATCTTCAAAATTCCAAAGGCCAGTTGCCTCCCTAGAAGGTTTTGCTTGCTGCTGGAAGGCCATCAGAGGAACATAAGAAAAGCCATGCTGGATTAGACCCCAGGTTCACCTAGCCCAGCATTCCTCTTGCAAAGCAGCAAACCAGCTGCCTGTGGGAAACCCACAAGAACATCCTGGGTGCAACAGCACTTTCCCACCCACATTCCCCAGCAACTGGCATGCAATGGCATACTACCTCTGATACTGGAGAACATATAGGCACTAGGACAGGTAGCTCCTGATTGCATTATTTTCCACAATTTTTCCCCAATTCCTCCTTTAAAAGCCATCCAAATTGCTGTCCATCAGTACATCTTGTGGTAGCAAATCCCACGGCTTAATCATGTGAGATGGCATAAGTTCAGCTGCTGAGAAGGCTTTTAAAAAAAAAAAAAAATTCCCATCAAGCACACATCAAATGTTGGCAGGGCAGACTGAAGGGCCTATCCGAAAGATTTCAGTACCTGGGTAACCTCAGACAGGATGTCAGTCCTTCGGGTAACCTGGCCACAAGTCCTTTAGGGCTTTATGAGTCACCATCTACATTCAGGGATATGCTGCATTTGTTTGTTTGTTTGTTTTAAACACTCTTATCCTACTGTTCAATGCTTTTGGCTCCCAAGGCAGTTCACAATTAATGTTGCATTAGTGTTTCCTTAGAGTTTGAGAAGTAGGCTGTCCTTATGTCTCTCATGGCTGATATCAGGATGTGTGCGTGCGTGCGTGTGCATTTGTTTGTTTTGAAGACAGTGCCACTTACACAAAGTCCTTGCAACTCTGTTCAGTACTTGACCATGGCCAAATAAGAGAACATCAGTCATCCAGGTCCCAGATTATTCTGAATCTAGAAAATTTACAGCACATACTTAAAGATTCATTATTGGCATGTGGAACAGATTCTACCACTTATTACACCACCCTGATCCACTGCTGTTACACCAGAACTTCACATAAATGGATCAATGTTATGGAAAGTACAATCCTATTACTTGCCATGTCCTGTTCTTCATCACTGATCACAATCTAGATTTTGCAATGGTAACTACACAAGATGTATTCACAGATCTATGGTGTAATGTGATCATCTCAATTACATGGCTGAGCTGATAATGATGCAAAAATGCTTTGCATGAATCAGATATTAATCATAATGCACATGGTTTCATGTGAAGTGAAAGGGTCAAATGAAATGGGGGAGGAATTTCCCCCAAAGCAGTTCTTGAGCAGTTATGTGCAAGGTATAAAAATGTCATTGCTTTTCTGAAATGGTTGTGGTGGTGGTGGTGGTTATGCCTAATATATTAAGTGCCTACGCAGAGGCATTACACACTATTATTTTGGAAATATGGCTCATACTGAAGGCTTACAATCTCATAGCACAATGCAAAAACAAAGGTTCAGGGAAAGGGGCATTGAAAGTATCTGCTAAGTTATTCTGTTAGACATAAATGTTAACACTGAAAAGTTGTATGTTTTTTGTTTTTCCAAAACCAATATCTAAGACCTCATGCAGAAGAACAGAGATTCAGTTCCAGCATTAATTTGTCACCTTCAAGACAAGGGACGCTGCTTGTTTCATATGAGGTGTGTTAGCTAGATGGAAAGCTGGATAACATTTCAGTGAAAGAAAATTCAGTTTGATGTTATCCATGTTTAATAAAGAGATGTGATAAAATCAGATTTATTAGAGCTGCTGACAGACTGGATGACTCTGAAGGTAATGAATCTGGGGTATTTTTCAACTCGAGGTATGTGCCTCTGCCACAGGCCAGCAATCCTTGATTCAAGTAAACATGAGGTCACTCCAGTGCTAATTCTGTCCCATGCAGCCTTTGGCAGGTGTGCTTTCCAATCACTGGTACCTGAAAAAGTGGGGACTGCACCAGGGGTTGCTGCAGAGGTGACCTCCACTGTCCACTCATGAGTATGCTCAGGACTTTCTCCTTTAATCAATCTCCTAGACAATCTTGCTGGCCTCTAAGTTTTGCAGAGTGTTTTGCATCCATGGCCTCTAAAGCAAGGGTACAACACTTCTGGCCTTTCAGATTGTTTTGGCCTACAACTCCCATGCTTCCTCATCAATGGCAGAGCTGGTTGGCCTAGGACTGATGGGAGCTGTATGCCCAAGCATCAGGGCCATATCCAGCTGTGGCATTCTACTAGAGAAAAGTGCCAAACTACGTGCAAGAGGAGAATTTGGTTAAAGTGATGTTTTCACAAGTGCAATGGCCCATGCAGTGATGAAACCAGATACATAAGCACTTGCATAACAAAAAGATTTAGTGATGCTCCACTAGTGCTATCTGAGTTCACAGAACGATACCATTAAATTCTGTTCTTGCAGGAACACAAGTTGCCTGGCCCTGCTCTAAAGTAGTTATTATCTGTGTTCAGAAATATATTTTACCTTGGGGAAAAGATGGGGATTACTGTCAGAGGCTTTGAAATTTTTATTTTTATCTATTTTGATGTTCCTCAGGTCAAGCAAGCAGCTCTTAATGCATTTCAGGCCCCAGATTCTAACCAAATGATCTCAGTTCCTGGATGGACAATAAACCTTCCAGCTCTAGACAGTGACAAGAAACATCCAGTGTTGCCTGTGCATCAGCACTGATTCTGCTGTGCCAGTGGAGCCCATCACCAGCACAAGAGCAAGCTAGTGACTCCCAGAGCAATCCTGGAAATGAGCCAAAATGCTCTCTTCTGGAACAGGACAGATCAGCAAAAATGCCTTCTGTGAGCTCTGCTAGTCTGTTCCATCCTGGAGATGAGTGTCTTCATTCATTTCCAGTTGCTTTAGGAAACACTGGCGTCCTCTTGCACCTTCACTTAGCAGTGGGTTCTACTGGCACATTGGAAGCACTGGATTCTGCCCCAGTCTCCTATCATGTTGCCAGCAATTATATTGTGATGCACCTCTGTGGGGAAGGGAAGCAGGAGG